AGTATTTTGGGAGGGCCAAGGGGGCAGATTGCTTGAGCTCAGGGAGTTCAAGACCAGCCTGGGCACACGGCAGATCCTGGCCTCTATTAAAAATACAAAAAAAAAAAGAAAGATCCGGCATGGTGGGCCATTGGCTGTGGGTTCTCAAGCTAACTAGGCTGAGGTGGGAGGATCCACTTTAGCGGGGTGGTCGAAGGTTGGTTGGCGGGCAGAGGTTTGCAGTGAGCTAAAGAATCACCACTGTACTCCAGCCTGGGTGACAGGAGCGGAGACCTGTTTTACTTTTCCTAAAATTATTAAAAAAAAAAAAAAAAAAAAAAAAAAAAAAAGGCTGACTTCTTCCAGGCACAGTGGTGCACCCACATTTTTGGGGAGCTGAGGAGGAGGATTCTTGAGCTCAGGGAGTTCGGGGGACTAGCCTGGGGCAAACTAATAGTGAGACCCGTGGGTCTGTATTTATAAAACTAAAAAAAAACAAAATGACTTCTGATTCTTTCACTATAGGTGGGCTAGACAAGAAACTTTTTAAAATACGGGAAGGTTAAATATAACTTTACGTCAAAAAATCTGTTAGACACACCTTACAAAAAAATTGATTTAAAGCTACCTTACCAGTTATGGGGATCCTCAACATTTGTGCCTCTAAATAGGGAGTACCACTGAGCATCTCTTCTGTCGGTATTCAAGGGACACTGTACAACTATTGCTCTGTCCTTCTTGGAAAATCGGTTTCAGATTGAGGAGGAACTAAATCAGGACATTAACTGAAATTCGAGTCTATCATCTTACTGGGATTACAGATGTGAGTACTGTACCCAGACAGAAGTCAGCTTAAAAAAAAAAAAATTCATTCAACATCATATCAAAAATCTTTTCACGTAATATTTGTAAGCCTTATTTTAAAAGCTATGGAGGCATATAAACATTTTTTCAGGGTCAGACATTTAGATTATTTCATTTTTTAATGCTATTTTAAAAAGAAAATGCTGCTACAAATACATTTTTGTATAAAGCTTTTTATGTGATTAGGGTTGTTTTATAGGGTAGATTCTCAGTGTAGCATTACCAGGACCCAGGGAATATTTTTAAGGCTTTTAAGGCTTGAACATCCTGTACAATATGCCGTTATGTGGTTAAAAAATAACCAAATCTTTGTGTTTTTTTTTGGTTTTTTGAGACAGAGTTCTGTCTGTCATCAGGCTGGCAAGTGCTGGGGTGCGTAATCTCGGCTCACTGCAACTCCGTTCCCAGGTCAAGTGATGTCTCTGGCCTCGCGCTTCCGATGAGCTGGGATGTACAGGAATGCGCCACCAGTCGCCGCCTTGCATTTTGTATTTTTAATGGAGACGGGGTGGTCACCCATGTTGGGTCAGGTGTCAGACTTCTTATATGCAGGTGATCCCATGCACCTTGGCTCCGCAAAGGGTGCTGAGATGTGTAAGGGCATGGAGCTAGTGCACTGGCCCCCAACAACAACAATGGGAAACAAAATTTAAATCTTATTTTACAGAGGCTGGATTAGTATCTGAAAACTTCTTGTACAGTTCTAGGATTGAGTGAATAAATGAACTATTTTTAAGGAAAAAGGGATGTTAGGTTTTGCGAGAGTATGGCAAAGATAGAAGCGAGTTGAAAGCAAAGGTGGGCGCACAGTATGTTCATTGCCAGCACTCTTAACAATGTGAGCAAAACTAGAATCGGAGACCTAAATGCCCCAACCTAATGAGTAGATAAAGAGAATGTGGGTACAGTATACACCATGGAATACTATGCAGCATAAAAAGACGAGTTTCGAGCCCTGTAGAACATGGATGGAACTGGAGGCGCGGTGGTATCTTTAGGCATAACTAATGCAGAAGGACAGAAACCAAATACTGCCGGGCGCTGGTGGCTCAAGCCTGTATCAGCACTTTGGAGGCCGAGACGGCGGATCAGAGGGTTCAGGAGATCGAGCCATACTGGCTAACTCGGTGAAACCCCGTCTTCTGTACTAAAAATGGAGATTACAAAAAAACTAGCCGGGCGCGCGGCGGGGCCTGTAGTCCCAGCTTACTCGGAGCTGGAGGAGGAGAATGCGCGTGGAACCCAGGAGGCGGAAGTTGTAGTGAGCTGAGAATATCGGCCACTGCACTCAGCCAGGCGAGCGAGGACTCTGCTCTCAAAAAAAAAAAGAAAAAGAAAAGGAAAAAACAAAAAAAAGAAAACCAAGATACTGCATGTTGTCTCGCTTACAATGGGAGGCTAGAATAGATGAGTAACACGATGGAGCACATAGGGACAGGAAGAACGAGCACACTGGGGGCTATGGGAGGTAGAGGGCGAGGAGGAGGGAGGAGGTCAGAAAAATCAT